CTGATCATTTATGTATACATTTGTCTATATCTATCTCGATTCGTTTTGGCTGTTACAAACAACCGTTATGTGAACAAAATTAATATACCCTTGTGCACAAGTGCGCTCGGGTATAAAAATGCACTATTTTGCATTATTAAATGAAATAAAGCAAATTTGTGTTATTTCGCATTTAATGTCTGTTGAAAATCTTTGAAATCGGGAAACGACTCCGCGCATCTACAGAAACACGAAAACTGCGATAAATCAATAAACACTAAAGCTAATTACCACTTAGCAGAAAATAAGATTATAATTTTTTGGATAATGGGCGTGGCGCCGCCATGACAAATGTGTAACTTGATAACCGATTTATCAATTTCTACCAAACTCGGTGCACTTAACAACCTTAGGTACGGAAAAGCAATTCGTTGAAAGTTAATCAAATCGGACCGAAATTGCACCCGCTTTCCGTAAATGTAACAGTAAATTTCAGAAATACGGAAACTGATATTTCAATAATTCTTACAACAATCTCTTAACAATAAATTAGACCGCTATAGACTTTCAGGAATTGGCCGTTGCAGCGCCCACTTTATGACTACAAAGGTGTATCTCGGTAACCGCTTTATATATTTCTACCAAACTTGGTTCAATTATGTTATTGAGTCTAACTCAGCATATTATCGAAAACGTTTGAAATCAGAAAAAACACCCCTGCTTATCATGCAAAGATAGTTTAGAGAAAGTTGAAACGACAATATTTGATACCTGTGCCGGGTACGTACAGTATGGGTTCGCCCAAACTTCAACTATTTTCCTTTATAAGTGGTACATACATTTACGGCTTAAAATAGTTTTTTTTTGTTAATGGCAATGAAATAAGACTGTATTAGGTTATTATTAGTTTTAAAACAATAAAGTATATTAAATTAAAAAAAACGAATGGCCTTATTTATAAAAAATAAAGTAGGTTAAAAAGCTTTATAAATTGACGTTTTCATACCGTCGTTTAAAGTACAAAACCGCGAATCAACAAAAGGCAAAACCGCGTATCAAGATAATGCAAAACTGCGTATGTGAGGTTGCATAAATTATAATTATTTTCTAGAGAGTAAAAACACTCATATTTCAAAACGGTTCGCTTTTTTATAAAGGTTAGTATATTTCAGGACGAATGGATAAGGATTGAGTCAAGAGCTTGTATGAGCAAATCCAATTTTTGGCAGCAAATGTCAGTTACGCGATTTTGCAGAATGACGATATGCGGTTTTGTACTTTAAGCGACGATACATTTTTCAATTTAAACAAGTAAGAAAGTCTAAGTTCGAGCGGAGCCGAACATCAAATACCCGGCGCAAGAATTAAATATATGTTTTTCACATTTCCGAAAGCTACCGCTATATGGTAAGCCGGGGTGTATCAATTTTGAGTAAATTAGTAAATTTCGAAATATTGAAGTTTCAAGCATTTCTGAAATTTACCGTTATATGAAAAGAGGCCGTAATTTTACTCCGATGGCGTGGTTACAATCCGATTTCTTCCATTTTCAATACCAACCTACCTTGGATAAATGGAAACCTACATATCAAATTTCGTTGAGATATCTCAATTTTTGCTGGAGTTATCGTGTACACGGACGGACGGACAGACAGACATGGCTTAATCGACTTCTCTATTCATTCTGAGCATTTATGTATACATTTGTCTATATCTATACAAACAACCGTTATGTGAACAAAGTTAATATACCCTTGTGCACAAGTGCGCTCGGGTATAAAAACGTTTTGTAAAGCTACTTAATTTTTTATGAATAAGGCTATAAATCTTTTAACAACAAAAAAATTATGAAAAACAGGTTGATAGAAAATGTGCTAAGTCCAAATAGAACCCATAAGTCTGCAATAGCGTTATTATGAAGAAGAAAACTGCATTTACAGATTAGGAAAATATTAACAACAGAAAAAGTTAGACGGGTTTTTGTCCCTCCTGAAAAAATACAAAAAAAAAGAACTTAGCACGTTTGCACACTAAATTAAACGATATGTATGTTACTTTATAAATAAGTATTTATGTACTGCTGGGGTTAGAACTAACACTATTTTTTGAACTATACGATGAATCCTCTCTAGTCAACTCGGTTGAGTCGCCTAAGCTTCCCGATGCAGCAACAGTTGAGCTGGATGTGACAGTGATGTGACGACCGGGTTGTGGTGATGTTGGGTTAGAAAGTCCCGTTTCGTGTATTGGCGATAAAGTTGGTGAACGCGTGCGCAAGAAATGTTTGCGGCGTTGTCGGCGATACACGTTGCTGAGGGTTGGGAGCCTTTGGGCTGGCGATAAAGTTAACGAACTTCTACCCGGCGAATGGGAGACGAAGCTGAGAGTGTCTGCGAGTTCCACAAGATTTGTAGGACTTGGTATTTTACGACGCGTAGGAGGAGGCAATGCTGGCGGAGTTGTGATTTCTATCGATGTCGTATAAGTCATGGACGTGTCGTCACGTATCACTGATGTAGGCAGGATGGTCTTGATTGCATTGGGCGTTTGACCAGGTGGCGTTGTAAGATTACTGGAGTCACTGTACATACTCTGATCGCTCCACTCAGATGTGGTCGTTGTGGATGAGGGCGGCTGTGGAGAGCTACTATCGTTAAAATGTTTTTGCTGGTGAATAAGATGATGATGACTGTAAACGCCATTGCTGCTGGTTTTTAAATGTAATGGCCGGATTTGATTATGTTTCACTTGGCGTTCGTTGATGCTGCCAACAGCGCCATTACCGCCAGGTTGGCGGCAGCGCATGCGCCTAAAACGACTCAGCATACGCATCATGTGTAGCAGTCGTGGCATCGGCCAGGTACGAGAAATAGGCACTCGAGAGTTCGAATTGAGATTGGCACTACGTGGAGAAGTTGGACGGCTACTGCTTGGACTGTCCCTGTCCCCACTTCCATTCGCTTTTTTTTTGAACTGCACTGATATTTCTGTAGGCTTCATGTTATTTCTGCTTCTGGTGTGTTTATGAGGCACCGCCAATGCAGCGATAAGGTCATTGGGAACATCAGGACTGTCAGGCACATTCGAGCAGCAGTTCCATCTTCGACACCAACTCTGATTTTTCGATATTGACTTCATACAGCAACGTTGATGCCCACTACTCACCCCTTTCGAGCCTTCTAAAATGGTTCTCGGCATTGGACTCAATTCCATGTGACTTTGTGAACTATGGTGAATACCACTTGCTGAACGAGAGCTAACATCTCCGACACGTTTGCTCACTATGGGACTGCGTATTCGAAAAGTGCACAATGTACATTGCTCAGTGTACTGCTGATTTGACCTCCGGCTATGACCGGCCTCTAGGTCACTAACCAATGTGGCTTTGGACGTGGCAGCGCTTACTCGGCGCTCGGTCGCCAGGGCATGAAGTGAAGAATAACAATGGAAGGTCTTATAGTCACTGTCTATTACTTCAGACGTTTCGCTCCCGCCATGCAAATTTCCGTCTCTGCAACTTCCACTATCGCTAATATGTGATATTCCAAACGGCGAGTTTGTAGCATTCTCCTCAAGCAATGAACAAATATAGTAAGTCTTCATAGCGGACTGGTGATATTCTTCGGAATTTACACAGCAGTGCAACTTCGGTGGCGAACTCTCTTCATGCTTCGGAAGCGGATTACGAGCTTCGAAATAATGCATGTCAGCCGTATTTATGGCATTCGGATGTCTTACACTGGAGCAGAAAAAAATTTGGCCGGAATCACTATTATTTTTAGAAGGAGTCAAAGGGAAATGTTGACGACCTTCTTTTGACAGGTTTGAGATCGTTTGTTTTGCTTTATTTTCTTGTGCTTGGCGATGGTTGCGTATATATTCGTAGGTTGTAAGGCCAAGAAAAGAAATGTATATGTGGAAAAAGCAAAGGTGCAGAAGAAGACCAGCAGCGATAGCAGCTAAGAATCCGAGAAATCCAATTAGCACCAGGAATATTGTTTCACTAATACCAGCGATTGTGGCAGCTGACACATTGTTGAAGGAAATATCACCTGCAGCATTCAAAGCCAGCTCTGTGACAGTGAACGTCTGGTTCAAGCTCAACAGCAGTGTTTCGTTCACTGCAATTGACAAACTTACATCCTCAGCGAGTATTGACAAAGTCGCATTACCCGACAGTAAATCGTTATCCAGCATATACTCTGTGACATTGTTAGTGACATTTGCGGTGAAATCAAAGTTGTGTGTAACACTGGCAGCTTCTACATTTGGGTCATAAATCGTATTATCATTGGGGATGAAAAGAACGGCAGTGGGGTTTTCTACCCCACCGCTTTCTCTATTTTCGGCTGTAAGAGGCCAGAAGTTTACCCACTCGGGGTGCACATTATAGAGTACGATTTGGGCTACTACGGCCACAACAATCACCACCGTCGCAATCACTGCACTGACAACGCACATTAGAAATGCCACATAGTTACGCGAACCGATACAGTGATTCAACCATTTACAATGATGATCGAATTTGCCAACGCACTTGTTGCAGACCGAACAGTGTTTCGTACGCGGTGACGAGGTGCGTATGTTACACAAATGGCATCGGCCGTTCTCAATGACATGTGCGTGCTTATTGCGGTCGAACTCCGGCACAATGCGATCGTTACGATGGACACGTTGGAGCTCAAGATCCGCGGGATCAATTAGGAGTGCAGCTAAATGAGAGGCAATGTGCACTACATATAGACCCGAAATAAGACCGTAAAGCAGACCTTGAATTTCAGTTGTGAACGACGGTATCAACACCAAGAACGAGGAAATACCAAAGAGTAACAGTACAAGCCAACCGAAAACCTGTAGCGGATGTAGCGGCAATTGAAAGCCATGCAGACGGCGGCCACGACGATAGTGTATATTGGCGATATTTTCCTGAAATGAAATGCAGCGCGACAAGTCGTAACAGTGGGCGGAAGATCGGATTTGAGTATGCTCTTCGGAGTTGGCGGCTGAGATTGATGCGGATTTTTGGTGAGTGCAGGAATGCTGACGTGTGGCAGTGTCACTAGCAGCTAATTCTGAATTGAATGAAACAGCTTTCAGCGAATCCTCTTTGAGGGAGGATGAATGACACTCGTTGGCGATGCTGCTGGTGCTGATGGTTATGATGTTATCGCTACCATTCAAAGTGGACTCTTGCGTTTTCACAGAACTGTCGTCTATCGCAGAAGTTTTTTGTACATTGACTTGCTTCGGCATGTTTCAAAAACATTTGTTATTGATTCTCGAAGATCAAACGTGGCTTTGTAGTGAAGAATTTGTAGTGGATAACGACGAAGTGTGTTTAGATTACGGAGATGAAGTGAAGAGTTGAAGTAGAGGTATTTACGTAACAGGAGTAAGAGAATCACAGTACCGTGGGGTAAGCAGATGTAAATGGCTGTATGTAATGGAATTATAGTTTAAATAACACGTTATCAATCAGAATTAAATCTTTTTTGAATCACATAGCTGGTTCACAAGTGCCACTAAAAAGTTTTTTGAGGTTTCGATGAACTATTTTGTCTTATTTGTTTGCTGTTTCTTGCATACCGCACTTTTTGCTAACAGCTCAATATATATATATATAAGAGCCCACTTTTCACAATCAGTACCTTATGTCTTTTTGTCTGCCACTCCACTCCACATCAAAAATGAAAACAAAACGGAAACTAAATTATGTAATTGCAATAAAGCAGCTTTCACGAATGTACATTCATGTATGTATGTACAGTGGTCGAACAAATTATAGCCGGACCACATTTTGACAAGTTTTAACATATTCTTTGTTTTGTTATTCAATTTTGATTATTTTTTATAAAAATATAGTTCACTCTTTAACAAAACCCGTGTAAATCCAAGTTTCAAGCTTTGTGCAATATTTAAAAAAACCGAATGTATCGTTCTATTGAAGAAGACGCTTAAAAATATCTCCATTTAACCGTATGGTCAACGACCCTAAATCGATCATCAAACAAATTTGCGAAGTTTTTAAAGTTAACAAATACAAATTGCTAGTGTCCAACCCAAGTGTCCCAAAAATGTACGATTTGCCAAAAGTACAAAAAGAAGGAGAAAAATTGCGGAAAGTTTTTCCAACACATCATCACCGCTAGCACGTGCCGCAAAATAGTTGGTAGCAGAGTTAAAAAAAAATACGGAAATTTCGACGGAGCCAGCGTCGAATATATTAGAATTTGTTAACAAGACCAAAAACATCGTAATTCAAGAAGGCGAAATTTGTGCATCCTTCAACGTAGAGCATTGTTCGCAAGATACCGGTTAATTTAGCTCTAGATTCTCTCATCGAAAATAAACACGCATTTATGACCAGATTCGAAAACGATCTGAAAGCTGAAGGAGTTTTACTAAGAGTTTGGATCAGATACGTCGACGATGTATTGTATCATCAAAAAGAATGAACATCAACACTGCCGTACTGATTTATAATTTGGGTATCTGCATTTTTCTTCGAAAATGAATTATTTACATCGTTGAATTCGTCTTGAAAATACGAATTTACTCATGCAAAAATAGTTTTCAAATTATAAATAACGATAAAGTTATTGTAGTTTTAAATTTTCACGTTTGCAGTATCTACAGCAATTTTCGAGAAATCCTGATATAAAACGTGGGTATTTGCAAAAGCATTGCAGTATCTCACTTTTTCCAGTATTTCAGCCGGAATTGCAGCTTGAATACTGATCAAAAACATTGTAAATACACTGCCGTTTGCAGATACAACGTCGTTTTTTAAAACTATTCTCCCACCATGCAAAACACGAGAAAAAGGCAACAGTCGTCAATGGCAACAATTTGGCGACTCCCCGATTTATTGCCGTGGTGAGAAATCGGCAACTTTATTTCTTTTATATCATTTTAGGAACATGTTTTCAAAAACTCCCAAACTGATGAACTTCGCGTCAACAGGATTCTTCAAAAATATATAATTTATGACCAAGAGAGGATTAAAAATAGTTAATTTCTTTTACGAATTATAAATTTGTGTTCAAAAACAAATGAAATATTAAAAAAGAATAAAATTGTTACAAGAAATTATTATTCATTCGATACGATGGCGATATTGCCGGCAATAAATTTGTTGTTGCTGAGGGCGACAAGTTTTCTTATTTCCGGCAACCAAACTTGTCTGGTGGGCTTGGTCGTTTGAGGAAAACGATCGTTTTTAGAAAAACGTATGTACATACCCACGTTATTTGGCAGTATTGGAGACATTTTTGACGTTACAGAACGACGTATGTAACTTTTAATACAAATTAAATTACAAATAATACAAATAAGATAAATAATACAATTAAAATACATATGTATTACACAGTGCTACAAAAAAGCATAAAGTAGAAATACCTGGGAAGTTATGTATATTTTCTGGTAGGTCTTTTCGAGTAAAAAAAGGAGTGGAATATGAAATTTGCCAAACAACCCCAAAATCTTGATTTACCGTTAAATAACCGGTTTTTCGTACTTTTGCGCAGTTATAAGCCTGTAACTTAGTTCATTATGAACCGGGTTTAAAAAGAAGAAACTTTGGCCTTTCGAACGATATATATGTGAATAAAGAAACCTTAAGAGATCTGTGTGTATTTAGCCAGAAAAAACATTTTTTTTTTTTTTACTTTTTTCACCTTTTTTCAACTTTGGCAAGGTTTTTACGCACCATTTTATAAGAAAACCACACTAGTCCTAAATTTATTGTAAAACTAAATCTAATAACGAGTGTTCATTTTCAAAAATCGGACGAACGTTTACCGAGTCATTAAACTTTTTATGAAAACAAAATTTTGCAAAAATATTATTTTTGACTACACTAATCAAAAATGTTTTCTTGGCCGTTTTTTTCTTAATTAAGCATCATCAGTTTCTCATTGTAGAATATTCCGAAATAATTGTTATACCCAAGCGCACTTGTGCACAAAGTTAAAACCAGCTAAAAAAACAACCTGGTTTTTCGCAACTAGTGAATTGGCTTCTTTAACTAGCTGGAAAACAAGTTGACAAAACCAGATGACTAGTTTCAATTGGGATAGTTTGCTGAAACTTGATTGATATTGATAAACGTGAATAAATTGGTTTCCTCTTGAATTTTTCAAATAAATCGGCTTTGATAGAAGGCAGTTTAATAATAATGTTTCCAAAAAATTCGAGAAGAAAATAACAACGTTTATCGAAACCAACAAATTAATTAAAACCGACTTTTTGAATTAATACGATGGAAAAAACTACAAATTGGTAGGTACCCACGTTCTTCACCAGTAAACTCCGCGCTCTCAGCGCTTTAATACTGCTAAAATGCCGCACTTGCGCAGATACGGCATTTTAACAAGTCTTCTCGAAAATTTTACATTCGAAAGAAAGACGTATCTAGAGTTTTGCATTATTTTTTGCATAAATAAAAAGGGGACATCCGAATCAGTCTAAAACCGTTGTTTTCATTTAGACAAAAAGTATACATTGGACAGTCCCGTTTTGTTTAATTTCTAGGTTTGACTTCGAATGCAGATACCCACATTTTAAATCAGTACGGCAGAACACACACTGGATACAATTTACAGCTAGTACGACAGTATTAAATTTACTTTTGAAACCAAAGACGATCAACATTCAATCTCGTTCGCGGTTTTAAATGTACAAGAATTGAGGATAAACTTGACTTTGCCGTTTATCGTAAACCCACTTCAACCGACTGTTCATATCAACACAAATTTGCGTCATTTCATTTGTTGGTTTATAGTCTTGTCAATTTACCGCCCTCTATTACTAATTACCAAAGGGAATACGAGAAAATTATACATTTAGCAACGAATAATGCTTCGACAAAAATCTCATCGACAAACTTATCTACTAAGGCACTGCAAATATATATAAATATATATATATATAAGGACCGTTTTCTCATCTAACCCTTAGTTTACAGGCCACTTTATCGTCTCGATATACGAGTTTTCGTTTTCTCATCAGCACATTAATTTCTCGAATCGATAAATTGTTGCTAACCCGATGCAACCTTTAAAAATTTGTACCCAACTTTAAATTTGGCTTTGGTTTTGGTTTATGAGTCAGATATAGTAGATATTTCAACCAACGTTTTGGTTTTTGCTGACAGTTGCTCTTGCTCTATATTTGCTTACGTTGATTGCCAACCTTTGAAATTTTATGACGAATGTAGTGAAGTTTCACTCTCGGAAATGTAGTGGAATAACAAATTTATTTTTACCGGTAAGATAAGAAAACCAAAACACTTTAGAGTGAGGAACAATTTATCTGCCCTGTTAGTAAAGGCAACTTTACTGCTTACATTGGAAAATGGCCCTAAATGGAACATAAACTTTAGAGTACAGTATATTTTGCTTTGCTGCCATTATGCTTAAGTGCACATTTAAGATACCTACCCCAAAATGCGCATCAGAGGCATTATTTTTAACATTTATAAGGAAACTGCACCGATAGATGCATTAAACATACCTGCACATTGGCAATACCTGGTTTAAAAATTGTGCAACTAGTATCAATTATCACTGGCCGTACAATTACCTAATTTTGCAAGCTTTTATTTATTTTCCTCATCTCACAGAACAACGAAAATGGCTATAAATTTATGTAGCTATATAGATAATTAGATACCATTCGGTAAAAATTTCGCTTGCAGTAACGTGGTAAGTGCTCCTCCATTATTTGCTTTCATAGGGATCCGGATACCTTCCTCATTGCCTTTTTCGGTTAAGTGCACAAGTTTTTCGTGCAAAGGGGGATATGCAGCCAAGCAAAATATACTGTACTTAAAAAGGTAGGAACAAAAACAAGAAAATCCCCGTAGCGAATGTCATGCATTAGTCACTTAAGAGTCTTGTACGGAAAAGTTCCGTCTTAAATGACTTTGGGCTCCGTTTGTATGAAGTCGTTCATGACTTTTTCATATAAATGGTAATTTCGTCGTTGATGTCATCTGCATGACTTTGCCATGCAGTGATCATTGANATGGAACATAAACTTTAGAGTACAGTATATTTTGCTTTGCTGCCATTATGCTTAAGTGCACATTTAAGATACCTACCCCAAAATGCGCATCAGAGGCATTATTTTTAACATTTATAAGGAAACTGCACCGATAGATGCATTAAACATACCTGCACATTGGCAATACCTGGTTTAAAAATTGTGCAACTAGTATCAATTATCACTGGCCGTACAATTACCTAATTTTGCAAGCTTTTATTTATTTTCCTCATCTCACAGAACAACGAAAATGGCTATAAATTTATGTAGCTATATAGATAATTAGATACCATTCGGTAAAAATTTCGCTTGCAGTAACGTGGTAAGTGCTCCTCCATTATTTGCTTTCATAGGGATCCGGATACCTTCCTCATTGCCTTTTTCGGTTAAGTGCACAAGTTTTTCGTGCAAAGGGGGATATGCAGCCAAGCAAAATATACTGTACTTAAAAAGGTAGGAACAAAAACAAGAAAATCCCCGTAGCGAATGTCATGCATTAGTCACTTAAGAGTCTTGTACGGAAAAGTTCCGTCTTAAATGACTTTGGGCTCCGTTTGTATGAAGTCGTTCATGACTTTTTCATATAAATGGTAATTTCGTCGTTGATGTCATCTGCATGACTTTGCC